CTATACCTTTCTAATGTGACGTTGTTGTCCCTGGCTCTCTTTCTCTCTCTCTCTCCCGCTCTGTTCCTGTGCTACTGAGAGTGTAACTACCGCCCCTCCCCTCTCTGCTCAGTGCAAGCACAAGGCTCACGTGCGGAGTGAAGCAGAAAAAAAGTGCAAGAGAGAGGGTGAGAGAAAGAAAAAAAAACCCATGGCTCCCAATAAGGAGCCGGCTCATGTCGTTCACTTGAAAGATCCGGATCTAAGATCCGTTTTGTTCGCAACCGACACATCACTAGTGTGCATCAACTCACATACAGCAACCCCTTTACTGATTCTACATATTAGGGGTGCAACAATACTCATATCGGTATTGAACCATTCGATACAGTGCTTTCGGTTCGGTATGCACATGTATCGAACAATAAAATTTTTTTTATTTATTTTACCAACTTTTCTTTTGACGATGCTGTCTGTGTTGAGCGCTCAGTGGATCTGCGTTCGACTACTCCGCCTAGGCTGCACTGTCGAGCCAGTGTTGCCAACTTAGCGACTTTGTCGCTATATTTATGCGAGTTTTCAGAGGTTAAGGGGCGTCAAAAAGTCGTATTTATGACGACTTTCTTTTTCCCCTTTCACCACGATTGGCCAACAACACTCTATCACCTACAGCCAGAGGTGAGCCTTTGACTTTATGGAGTCTGGCATGGCACGCTTGCTCATGAAAAGCGTGGTTCTGGGCAATCTGTGAGGCATCAAACAGGTCTTTCCGCAACCGTGAGACAAACTCATGGTGGCTGATAACATCATCATTTTGCAGCACATGTTGGAACATTATGTCAACAGGAAGGCGTGGAACTCGCCCAAACATGACATAAAATGCCTCAGATGCGTAACATCTGAGGCCACCTAGCCTTGGCTGTTGGAGGGAGAGTCCTCAGCATATTCCCAAGTGTCCTGTTGAACCGTTCAGTGACCCCATTGCCCATAGGATGATATGGCGTAGTATGCGATTTCTGCACACCTGCCATCTCTAAGAGGTCCTTCAACAGTCTGCTTTCAAAATTTGACCCCTGATCCGAATGAATCCTCTTAGGAAAGTCATAAACACAAAAGAAATCATCCCACAACCTGCCCGCTACACGTTTTGAAGACTGGTTTCGACAGGGGAAAGCCTGTGCCAATTTGGAGAAATGGTCAGTTACGACCAGAACATCCACCTTCTTATTATCACTGAGCTCAGCGGTCCAAAAGTCTATGCATACTAGTTCCATCGGCTCTGACGTCTGGATGTTTTCCAGTGATGCACAAGCATGAGGTTTAGGTGTTTTTCCAACCACACATCTCTCACACTGTCGAACATGGTTGGTTATGTCTCTCTCCATCCCGACCCAGAAAAACCTCTCATGGGCAAGGGAAGGTGTTCGTGCCTGGCCCTAATGGCCTGCATTATCATGAAGGCTGAGGAGGAGTTGAACCTTCAGGCTATCAGGAACAACAAACTGGAAAATTTTCTTGCTCAAGCGGTGATGCTTTATCACCCTGTACAGGATGCCGTTCTGTACTTTAAGCTTCTTCCACTGCCTGAGAAGCCCACCAACACCACCTGGTTCTGAAGCTGCTTCTCGCCCAGTAGCCTTCCTTTTTCTTCGCACATAGAAAAGGACTCTGTTTATTGCCTGATCTTGTTGTTGAAGACTTGAAAGCTGGCTTTGTGGGAGAGGAACAACAGGGTCCTCCTCAGGAAGCTGTGATAAAGGTGGATTGACATTGGTCAAACCAGGGTCACACTGCGCACTCAGCACAGCTGACACCTCATCAGCATCGATCAAACCCCTCTCGCTCTGATGGTCACACTCAGAAACAGAGTCTGGTGAGTCTGGCTCTGTCCTGAACAATGTGGCAATTGTTAGTCAGCCGAAAAGCAACCTGCACAGTACCTCTCACAACCCCGTTGACCTCATCTAGTAGAGCAACATAAGGTTCTTTCAGCAAACGATGACCAATACATGACTCGACAAATGGCTCACGGCTTAAAGCATCAGCCACCGTATTTTTAACCCCTGGCACATACTTTAGATCAAAATCATACGCCGCAAGCTTCGCCACCCATCTCTGCTTGCAAGCATCTAAACGTGGCTTTATCAAGATGTAGGACAAGGGATTATTGTCTCTCCAAGCTGTGAAGTGCCTTCCTTTTAGCCAGTGGCTGAACTTGTCACACACGGCCCACTTAAGTGCCAAGAACTCTAGTCTGTGCGCTGGGTAGTTCATCTGAGACCGTGACAATGTCTTGCTGGCAAAGGCAACAGGTTGAGCCACTGTCTCGCCAGGAGAAACCTGTGAGAGTACTGCCCTGATGCCATCAAAGGAGGCATCAACTGCCAGGATGAAAGGCTCATTAAAGTTGGGATGAGCCAGGGTGACAACATTAGCTAGTTCCATCTTGAGCGTTTGAAATGATGTGCGACATGCTGATGTCCAGTCACTTGGTGTCAGAGATGGTTTGGCAGAGGGTTGCTTCCTGGGCTTCTTTCCTTTCCTCCCATGGGGAATTGCCTGTTGTCCCGAAAGTAACCTGAACAGGGGCTTGGCCTTCGCAGAACAATCAGGGATGAAATGTTGGTAATAGAGGATCATTCCCAAGAAGGACCGGATCTTCTTCTGGGAGGGAGTCACACCATCGCTCTCCATAAGCTGTTCCTCCCTAATGTTGGTAATGGTGTTAACCTTGTCTGGATCAGTTCTCACACCATCCGCAAAAAATGACATGTCCAAGAAATTTAACTGACCTCTTAAGAAGATGGCATTTCTTAGGGGCCAGCTTAAGGTTGTGACTCCTCAACCGTGAGAAGACCATCTCAAGACGTTAAAGGGCGGTCACCTCGTCAGGCGCAAACACCATCAAGTCGTCCAAGTAACAAAGCAAGCTGCTGAAATTCTCGTCACCAAAGATCGACATCATCATTTGCATGAAGGTCGCCGGACTGTTCGACAGGCCCTGAGGCATCTGGTTGTACTCATGGAGACCAAAGGGTGAGGAGAATGCTGTGTATTTCTTGTGAGGCTTGTAGAGAGGCACATTGTAAAATCCAGAGGTCAAATCCATTGTTGAAATGATGACCAAGATGGCGCCACGTATGGATGCCCTGGTGCTTCAGTGCATTACTTTTGTTTTGTTTTTGTGCATTTCTTCTGTGTCTGGGCACTCCTCTGGATACTCTTA